CGCGGCTGCCGGCGGAGCCGCGTGGCTGCGGCACGCTTCTCCCGGGGCCTGCTCCAGACACTGTACAACGTAAAAGTAACTGTAGTTAAAAACCCTCTATGTCCCTTCGGCTAACAGTGGCCTTTCTTCTGGCTGTCTTCTCTGAGACGGTTTTATTTTGTTTTTGTGGGGGTTCCGGATTTTATTTTTATAGTTCTGCTCTTATGTTTTTATTTTATTTTTGTTTTATCTTTTAACTGGCTCTTGCTTCATGTGTTCAAGCCTCTGCTGCCAGTGTGGCGTGCCTATCCCGCCGAACCCAGCTAACATGTGCGTGGCATGCCTGCGCTGCCAGGTGGACATCACGGAGGGCATCCCCAAGCAGGTCACCGTGCACTTCTGCAAGCAGTGCGAGAGGTAGGCACCCGCACCCCGGGGCTGCCCGCCCCCTGGTAGGAGGGGGGGGGGGGGTCGCAGTGACCCCACCCGCTCCGAGGGGAGAAATGACCATCTTGGCAAACAGTGGCACCTTGGTTTGGTCACTGTAACTTGAGTGCGGGACGTGCCTCTTAAGGTCACCAGACTCTCCCCACTGTATGCGTTTTCCTTAAAACTTTTACAACTCAGAGATGATCTTGTAGTCTATTGCAATGATTTGGAGATGCTGTTATAGCAGTAGATTTAGATTGGTTACGCAGAACACGTTCATGGACCCCTTCAATACATTGTTTAAGGTTTCAGTTAGCTTACTAGTCTGCAGATAGCTATTTGGACAGTTGTAGCATAGTGTGGGCTTGTTGGGTTTTTCACTGTTCCAGGGCTTTCGTATATTTCTTTTCTTGTGAAAGTAGGAAGGTGTTGGTATGATGCCTTAAAAAATTGAAATAATGAGTTTATGGTCTTGGAAAGAAAAAAGTGAGCATATTGATAAGAATGGCAGTAAAAGTTCTGAGTGCTTTTGGAATATGTGAACCTTAACGCTTTAGGGAGGGAAAAGTTTTAGCTACGTAGCTGATATTAAAGCTAGAAGTTTGGGAAATAAGTGCACATCTTTCGAATGATTTCATTTGTTGAAGCCGCTTCATGTTTTCTAAAATATTTTCTTTATCGTAGGTATCTTCAGCCTCCAGGAACTTGGATCCAGTGTACCTTAGAATCAAGAGAGCTTCTTGCTTTGTGTCTCAAAAAAATCAAAGCATCGCTTAGCAGGGTTAGTAACTGAATTTTATTAGTATTTCATAAAGCTTCTATCAGTATTGCATAGAGTGAAATCTGACTGACTTGTACAGGGTTCAATCCGTTTGGAGTAGCCATTTATTTTTATAGAGAGCTTATCAACTGATTTATGTCGAGCATAGAGAATGGCCAGCTGATCTCATGTAGGTCAGTACAAGGATTTTGGAGGACTTCAGTAAGGATAGGCGGTAGCAGAGAACCTCCAAACAAATTGAGGCTACTGCAGTCCAATTCTGTGACTTTAAGACACGCAGTAAGCTACATAATTGTTATCCTCTATATGGGAGTTGAGTGTAATCAACTGAAGGAAGCTCAGGTGTTTTTAATGCAATTTAATTTTGCAGTTTTCTTTTTCCAAATTTTCAAAATTGTTTATCTGATAGTTGTTCACATTGCTACGTTACAAAAAGGATTTGCAGAGGTCTGTATACTGACTAAATTGTTACATGTTGGGTTAGATAAAGTATCTCTTAGGTTAAGACTATTACTAGAGGAGAAAATCTGAACTAGTGTACTGGGCAGAGAAGACTGTTTTGTTATTGCACTCATCAAAATTTGAATTGGTTTGCCTTATTGAGCTTCTCTGTGTTAAGCCAGTACTTATGTATATATATCTTTAGCTGCAATAAATTTGCATATTCTTAGTTTTGCAGATTAAATTGACTTTTAAGTCCGGAAGAAAACATTTTGTTATCCAGGTTGATCATTACATTGCATCAAGAGATACTGTTGGACAGTGTATTCAGTTATTCTGGCGTAACAGTCTTTGAGGTTGCATCTCCATTACAGTGTTAGTATGGATCAAGAGTGTACTTTTGGGACAAATCTAATTGTTCTGATTATTGCGCTTTGGTTCTCGTTACAAAGAAGTCTTAAAGAGCATGAACTGAGTTTCTTTTGGATGAAAATAAAGTGGGAGGTGTGTTCCAGGAGCACATCTAATGCACTCCAGCCACCAGCAGGCATTCAGTTTGTGATCAGGCTAGCCTGAAGTTATTAACAAAACAAAGCAAAAAAAAAAAAAAACAAAACCAAAAAATCCTGACATGAATAAAGAAAGGATTTCGAGTCTTCTGCACCAGCTTTTTCTACATATCTGCCACTGTTAGTCTATGGTGTTTGCTAATGTAGGTGTAGCCTGAGAGACTAAAGTATTCTTGGATTGCAGACATGAGAACTAACTGCATGTTCTAAGCATCTTCACAGTAAAATGCACAAAATAGTTTTCGTATTGCTAAATTATTTTTTATGATAGTAATTTTTGGTACATACTTGTTTCCTGTACGCTTATCAGAAGTCCGTTGCGACTTATATGATTTGCTGTATCCCCTTTCTTCCCCTCCCTTTTTTTAATCTTATTTTTGCTTTAGAAGTGTTTGACTGCAGCTACTGAATTGCACTGCAGTATGTTGTTAGATATATTCCTAAATTCTGTACGTTTTTCATGTTAAACTTTGCTTGAAAATTAATCCATCCCAAACAGTGTTTTCCTCCCGTAGGAAGAGTCTTCTGTTAAACTAAATGGATGTTTTTATGCGCTCAATATTGATGTGTGTTAACTGATATCGATCCCCTGTGTCATCCTTCAGGTTGCTAACCAAAAGCAAACTAACTCAAGGGTTATTTAATCAACTAGAAAGTAGACTAATGGTTAATTCCGTTGTTGTTATTAACGTCATTACTATTCAATGTGATATTGCTTATTTGAAAAATTACTGTAAGAGTTGGGGGTGGAAGGAAGAGCAAGTGCTACTCTACAACTTGTCTGTGTTCAAATTAAGCCTGATTACTATTAACTGGGTTTGGTAGACTGCTAAATTTCTCTCTCTCTTTGTTTTTTGAGATTACTTACTTCCTCAGTTGAGGAAGGATGAAGTATACCATAAATTTATGTTTTCTGGTAGTTAGCTTTACATGTTTCTAACACGTACTCTAAAAAACTATTGGCAGTGGCTGAGTTCTTCTTCGTTTCCACTGACAGGTCCGGCTGATCGACGCAGGCTTTATTTGGACTGAACCACATTCTAAGAGACTTAAATTAAAACTAACTGTACAGAAAGAGGTAATTGGATTATAGTATTCTGCATTTTGCTTTTAAAAAGCCTGTAGGGCAAATATAGTATCTGTTTTTTTTTTTTTTTTTTTTTTTTAAGATAGATGGTTCTTGAAAGAATACGGACTTCATTGTGCCCAAATTTTGCCATTAGAGTGCTGTTCATCACAGTTTGAAGAAGGTTATCTGTTGTCCCAGTAAAACTGAGAAAATACTGCTGACGTTTGTGACATAAATATGGCTCTCTTTCATGTAATTCTACTAGCTGTATTAAAGTTAGTAACGATACAGAAGTTACTTCGGAATGCAGTTGTAAACTATGAAATGTTCCTGTCTTGACATTACTAGAAAAAGAGAGAGGAAACTTTTTAAACTTTTATTTTTGCAGGTGATAAATGGAGCAGTTCTTCAGCAAGTATTTGTGGTGGAATATATGGTTCAGTCTCAAATGTGTGAAGACTGTCATAGAGTTGAAGCTAAGGATTTCTGGAAAGCTGTAGTTCAAGTCAGGCAAAAGGTAGAGGCAAATTAATTTTCATTTGTTGACGGTAGCGTAATGAGTGAAACAGATCTTTGGATTTTTTTCTAATTTTATCAGAAGATGTACTTATGATTGCAGACTGCCACAGGAATGAATTACATGTTTACAATTTTTCCTTACTGGTATTAGTTTAGAAAAGCGTGGGTTTTTTTTTTTTTTTTTCCCCCCTGTTGCCTAGTATTATTAGCATATTCTTTTGAAATGACGGGTGGGAGAAAAATCTTGTGCACGTTACTAAATAGTCTTCTGGATGTTAAGGCAGTTTAGAACCAGTAAGGTTGTTTATAAACGTTTAAATCTCCTTTAAGGAAATGAATAGCTTTAGCAAGCAGATATATAAAAATAAGAAATAGAAGCTTCACGTAGGTTGGGGTATAGTCTGTATGTCTGTGAAATCTTTTTGGTTACCTGGAAATAACTCGGGACTGTTCCTTTTCTGGATGTTCTCTTCATATAATTGTTTATTCTCGAGATGTACTGCATTTGTACTAGGTGATTCATAAATAACTTTGATAAATTTGTCTTGCTTTGGTTTTAGACTCTGCACAAAAAGACTTTCTACTATTTGGAGCAGCTGATTTTAAAACACAGACTTCATCAAAATACACTTCGCATCAAAGAAATCCATGGTAAGTGAGTTGGTTTATTAATCCTTAAGTAGAACAATGAACTACCCTATTTCATATTGGAAGAATGCATCAATAGCTATGTACAGACATGTAGCAAATTGTTCTTTTCAAATGCCCTACATAGCATAAATATAGTACTTCAAATAGGTATCTTCATCAAGCCTTTTTTCTTTAAGATGGTCTGGATTTTTATTATTCTTCAAAGCAACATGCCCAGAAAATGGTAGACTTTCTTCAGTGCACAGTTCCAGCAAGGTATGTCATTTAAATTTATTGCCTTAAATACGCAAAATACTTTTGGGAAATGTTTTTTATCCTTCATTTTTAAAGAATTTTGTAGGTGGAAACTGCAGGTGTCCTCTTGTTAAAACAAACAAAAACCCTTCCTACGAAAATCCTGTATTTTCCACGTAGCCGCTGTGAAAGTAATCCTGATGCATTTTCCTATTTCCTTAATGTATTTGTAGTATGTTACTATATGCTTTTGTTGCTGTATTTTTGTAATGATTATCTTCTGTTTCAAATAATGTCTTTCTTACTGCTTAAAGGCTGTACTTATGTTTTACAGATCAAAATCTTCTCAACGTTTGATCTCTCATGATATTCATAGTAATGTCTACAACTACAAAAGCACTTTCTCTGTGGAAATTGTTCCAATATGCAAGGTAGCTTCTCTCTATTTCATCTCTCGGTATGCAGTGGCTAGAGTTTGTTTTTGGTAATGGTGTTTATGTTGAGACTGTTCCTTGTCTTTAAAAAGTTTTTGAACTATGGAGACCTGATTTAGTGTATAATTGGGGAGGAGAAGTGGTGTGTTTATGTCCCCAAGCAGGGACAGTGCAGATATCGGTTATGTTAATGAGGTTATTGGGGGATAGTGGATGGAGTTTAAAAATCGGTAAAGACTTGATTGAAAATTAGGGAAACGTGAGTGTAAAGCGTTTTCTGTTTGTATGCAGGACAATGTTGTTTGTCTGTCTCCAAAACTGGCGCAGAGTCTTGGAAACATGAGCCAGATCTGTGTGTGCATTAGAGTAACAAGTACCATCCACCTCATTGATCCTAGCACTCTGCAGAGTAAGTTACGAATTCTTTACTGCCCTCTAGCTGCATGTGATTTTCTGCTGGTACAGTTTTTTTACTCTTTGTTTTCGTGACAATTTTTTTTTCCTTTTCTTTTTTTTTGAGACCTTAGTGTTGACAATGTATCTGTACACTCACAGGCATAGACATTTAATAGCCAGCTCAGACGTGGGTCTTAAATTTCCTTTCTTTAGTATCCTAGGCAAAATGTGCACGGTCAGTATTAAGCTCACAGATTCTCTATTTCACTGTTGTTGCTCTGCTAAGCACTTAAATTTTCAAGAATATTTCCCTAAAATTAGATGGCATCTATTTCTTTCTCTTGAGTTGTGATTCTAGCCATTTGGGTAACAAAAGAACTATGCTTTGATAGGCATGCGGGTGAGCCATACCAGCAAAATGCTTCTAATAAGGCTACATCCAGAAGAACTTTTTTTTTTTTTTTTTTGGAATGAATACAAGATATTTGTGCTTCAGACACATGATAGGTGATCCGGCTGTGTATAGGCAGATCATGAACAGCTATTGAAGCAAGGCTTTACGATATAGATCTTGCCGTAGATGCTTATGTTATGATACCAAACTTGAACAGAATCTATTTGGCAGTTGCCTTAATTTTGGCCAATACTATTTTTTTTCCTTAATTTCTCTGAAAGTCATTCTCATCCTTATAATTGTGCTTTTTCAGTTGCTGAAATTGATGGAAATACTTACTGGCGCCACCCTTTCAATAGCTTGTTCCAACCGAAACAACTAGAGGAGTTTATTGTTATGGATATCAACAGAGTTCAAGAGAAGAGAAAAGGTGCAGGTGCAGGGGCAAGATCAAACAAAGTAAGAGTTGTATTTGATTTAATGTTTTTAGTGTTCCTCTTTCCCCCCTCCCCGCTTTGGTCAGAAATTCTGTTTTGACTCATTCTATATTACCAAATCACATATATGTTTTTCTTATCTGTAATTTTCTATCTCTAGCAAAAAAGCTCTTCCCCAAGCATTTTCATTTGGAAATTGCATATGCATTCTATGAGTTCCACTCTCAGAAATTTTTGTCCATTGTAGAGTTTAAACTCTACTCGTTACAAAATTAATACAAAATAATAATTAACAATGACAGTAACTCTTAAATTATTAAATTGTTTCCATTGACTTATAGAAGCATTTCTTTTAAATTAGAATTAAAGAATCATTACCAAGTTTTTTTTTGTTTTTTTTTTTTAATCTAAGTCAAAAGCTGTATGTGGTAAAAAGTTACGATGTAAAAACAATACCTGTCTATTTATAGAAACAGCTTTATTGGAATTCTTGTGAAAAGTGGTTGCCATGACCATTTCCTTATTTTGGTAAAGGCCAAGCATTAGAGATGAGAAATGGGAAATAATAAGCAGTACGTTGGCTACTTGATGCGGAACTAAAGTTTAATTACAGATGTAATTTAAAACAGTAATATAGCAGTATGAGTGTTTTAAGCTGCATTTGATTACAGAAGTATTTTGTTTTTCATTCCTCAAGCACGCGCTGGCAGAAGCCTGGGTACAGAAAACTTCGGAGTTGAATACGGATCATCAGTATTTCTGCTGTACTCACTTAGGACACATTTTAAATCCTGGAGACCTTGTCCTGGGGTCTGTTCTTCCTTTTCTTCCTTTTTTTTGATTTTTTTGTTTTTGGCTTTGGGTTAAATGAGAGATCCTGCTGTAGGAGTTAGCATTTGAATCTTGCAGCAGGTGTTTTAGTGATGGCTCCACTGAATTTACATGGTAAGCGTGAAAGATTTTTATATCCTGTCGTGGAGAAGAAGCTTTGAATGGTTTAAGAGAGGAAAGCTGGCGTTTTCTCTCATCCAGAAAAAAAGGAAGTAAATGCTGACAACTGGTGACTTAACTATACTACTTCTGTTTGTTAGGGAGCTGGAATGCTTATTTCCATTTAGTGTGAGCATCAAAGAGCTGACCTGGATTTTCTCCATTATCAAGAAGGTTGTCAGCTGTTCTTATTTCTAAATGGAAAATTGGCAAAAGGAATAGAATCTTTTTGTCTTGGCCAGGAAGAGATGGTCCTAATACAAGAATTTTTAATAGCAGAAGTCATCTTGGGAAAAGGGTCGTTAGTAATAAGATAGCTAAAGCATTATCTCTAAAATGCAGGTTTGAATAACAGGTTAGACACAAATGGATTGGAGGCACTTTAAAAATATCAGTCAAGATGAGAGTGAGTTAAAGCACGTGGCCTTGTTGCTTGATAGTATCATAAACACTGACAAATATGAAATGTTCCTAAGGTAGATTAGACTTTGGTACCGGTGGGCTTAAACGTGGATGTTGCTGGAGCTATTGTGAGCCCAACAAAACCTCAGTAGATACTCTTACGTGGGGTTAAGAGGCTGGTATATGGGATAACCTACTAAAAAGAATTTGAGAACAACTGCTTCTACAAGTTATTCATAGTTTTGACGGCTACTGTGGATTTTTGATTTGCTCTGTAACTCATTTGGAAATGTTCATCTTTCGTAGGAGCTATAATTTATGGTATGCTGCTCTTTAGCATAAGCATTCAATACATTGAGTTCAGTTCTGTACGCTTGCATATAAGGGTAGGATAATGTACCTGTTTTCATTTTAGATTTGACTTGGCCAATTGTAACTTAAATGATGAGTTTGCAAATAAGATGAACCCACAGCATATTCCTGATGTGGTAAGATCATTCTCTTTGTCTGTGCAGAATTTTCCTACGTTACACAGGGGTATTCAGGAATATAATGATTTTATAATGAAAAAGTTCCCTTATAATTTAGCAGTTCCCTAGTGCCAAAGGAAAGGGACGTTAATGTTGAAATTTGACTAGAATACTAATTCTGAGAATTATTTTTTCACTACCTAGGTTTTTTATGGTTAAAATAATAATTAAAGTAAATAATAGATTTACTTAAACTTGTCTTATCTTTTCATTTAATTTACCATGTCCTGTGTGATGAAAACTGTGTATTACATCTCCAGCATGCATATGCCTCCCCAGGACATAACCCAAAGTGTTTGGAAAGTTTTAGATTAATGAATGCTATATAAATTGTATGTAAAAAAATTCTTAGTGCCAGAGCGGCCATCCTGGAGTACTCAGGGCAAAAGTACAGATCTCTCATGCTGCTGTCTTGTGTTTAGTAGTAAAATTATTGACTCTACCATTTGTTCAACTGATTTTACAGGTTTCCAAATCTAGACTTGGTTATTGTTTTGGATTTTGAGAGTGTTTTGTCTGTTTTGTTTAAGGTGTATGTGTAAATATTTTGTGTGTGTTTTTTTTTTTTTTTTAAACACTGTAGGTATTAATAAAGAAGAGCTATGACCGTACCAAACGCCAGCGTCGCAGAAACTGGAAGCTGAAAGAGCTGGAAAGGGACAGAGAAGGCATGGATACAGACGATGAAAGGTTCAGTATCTATGAAGCAGCTTTTCAGTCCCTTCTACTAATATACTGTGCCAAGTCTAGAAATAGCATTTCTCAGCATCTGCTGAGGACAAACACAGTGTAATACCTAAGGTGATTTACTTGACTGTTCACGGCATGCAAGGAAGTGCTGCTGGTTCTGTGCGAGAGAGACTGCATGATGCTGGCTCTCATAGGTTGATTTCGGCGTTCTCTGAAGAGCAGCATCTTTCTGCATGTTTTTTTCCCCCCTCGTGCAGGAAGCGCTTTAAGTGTATGCACCTTATTTGTGCTTCTAAAGTATCTTGTCTTGACTGCTAAGTTTTCAGGGAAGATGGATGTTGAGGACAGTACTTGAAGGAAGAAGAAGAAGAAAAAAAAAAAAACACCTAAATCCTGACCCTTAAAGATAACCCTGCAGTCCTTTCCAGTTTATTGTTGGCAAATATGAAAACTATCTTTAAGATACTTTTCAAGAAAAGCCCAAGCCATAAAACAAATGAGTAGTATCAGAAGCTTTGTGTCAGTTGTTTACAATTGGCATTAAGTTGGCTAAAGGGACACTTTTGTGAAAACATAGAATTTCCATGGATACTACATTCAAGGACAAAGCTGATACAGCAACAGCTGATTAATTCTAAATAATACTCAGCTGAATAGAAAAACTGAGGCAATTAGAATTAAATGAGCACATGTGATTTAAACAAAAATTCTTTAGAAGCTAGTAGGTGCTGATAATTAAAGATAAGCTGAAAGAATGAGCTGGAAAGTGTAGCAATGCAATTCGAATGCGTGCCTAAAGGACTGCACTCTGCAGCCCTTTCTTGGGGCTTTGTGTTCTTTGATTTTTATGGACATTGAGGTTCTCTAATTATGCTCTAAATAAATTTACAGAAATCCAAAAAAAGTGATTAAATGCATTAAGCTTCTTTTACAGACAATACCAGGACTTCCTTGAAGATCTCGAAGAAGATGAAGCCATAAGGAAGAATATCAACATTTACAGAAGTAAGGCCTTTTTAATTATTTAATTGTATATCACTAGATCATGACTATTTGAGTGAAAATATTTTTACGGAAGTTCTGTATTTGGATTCTTCCAATTGCTAATGCTTAGGGAAAGGCTGTAACTTAAAAGTATGAGGTATTCTATTTCACATACACTAAGTGGATGTGGTTTGGTTGTTTTATGTGTGTGTGTGTTCGCATTTAAAATGCGAGATAGGAGCCTATTTGCAACCTCTCTTCTTCCTCCCCCGCAACCTCAACAACAACAGACAAACAGCCCTGCTAGGTGAAGGTTTTCATAAGTGATTCAGTATCCTACAAACAAGCTTTATTCTTTGGAGTGGGGTTTGAGGAGGGAGTTGTTTGGGGTTTTTGCTGGGGTTTTTTTTGCTCAGCTTTTTTGTTTTTGTTTATTAGATTCAGATGTTCCAGTGGAGAGTGACACAGATGACGATGGTCCTCCACGAATCAGTCTGGCTGAAATGCTAGAGGATCTCCATATTTCCCAGGATGCCACTGGTGGGGAGGGAGCAAGTATGATGACTGAATAAGAACAGTGCGTTAATATATGCAATAAATATCCACCTGGGGAGGAAAAAAAATACCCCAAATTCCCGATACATACCTACATGTGACAAGCTGTAATTGTTAGACACTGAACTAGGAAAGTAATGTGATAGAGATCACTGTACCCCTAAATCTTGTTACTGAATGATTATATTCCAGAGGATCAGCAAGTAAAGTTAAATCTCTGGTGGAGGCATTGCAGTGTAAGTTCCGCAAGTTCCTCACACGTCCCTGAACGCTTTCTCCCCTTAACTTGTGCAGCATAAAGACCAGCTGACTAACTGCTGGGCTGTCACTAAGAGTAATGACTGTCTTGTACTTGAGACACCTGATAAGGATGGATGTCCAGAGGGATAGATCTTATTCTAGTTTGCTAGACTTGTAGGTAGAGTATCTTACCTACTCTTTATTACTTTCATTTCTTCATCTACAAGACAAATTTTCCTGTCTTAATCTTTTTAGCACAGTGGTTTGAAGTTTTACATGAAGGTGCTAGATTACTCTCCATTATAATAATTTGGGGAAGGTCAAGCATGCGTGTCCTGTTCCTGTGGTAAGGCAACTCCAAATGTACATGTTGTGTACACAAAAAAACTTCCCTGTAAGTTGATGAAAGGTGCAGCCCCATGAATCAGAAAGATTGGAAACTTCTCTTCACTGTAATGAATATTGTGTTGTGCGTAATCTCTAATACAACAGAGGACTACAAACTATAAAGATATTTTTATTGTCCATCACTTAGTCAACTGTTAAAGTAAATTGCTCTCTATTATAAACGCAAAGAGGACATAATTCGTTTAGTAGGACATTAAATATTGATATCAATCAGTTTTTAATTTGCTTTACTGTACAAAAGTAGTGCAACAGAAATATTACGAAATGTTTATGTGAATATGCATTTCATTTGACTGAACAGAAATAAGGAAATATACCATGCAGGAAGAGTAATTTTGCCACTTCATTTTCAACTCTTCAGAAAACATGTTTCAAAATAACTAGCATATATGAAAGAGGGAAGTACTCCTAATGTAAAATTGTGGAAAATTAGTAATAGATGTGTAGGATTCAGTTAAAGAGGTATTAGTGATTCCTCAATGTAAGCTCTATGTAATTGGTAAAATGAGAACACTTAACAGTTTATCTGTCACTACTTGTATGTTTGTAAAATTAATTTTTTGAGAAATATGTAGGGCTGAAAATTCACTGCACTGATCTATGCAGTATCTGCTGATGAGGTGTCAGGAGCACCTTTCTGAATTTGACAGTACTAAATAGGTTTTTAAGGTCTCAAAGAAAATTAAGGAACAATCAAGACCTTTGCAGTGGGATAGATGTTGTTAAGTGAGAGAGATTTTTGCCTTATTCTTTAGTTTAAATGTCAAATGTTGATTAAACATTTCTGAACAGGTGTGACTTTACTGGATTCCAGCCTTATTCATATCCTCGGTGTTTGAGCCCAGACAGTATCCGTGAGAGGCAAAGGTATTTTTGATTATAAACGGTGGAGTTAGGTTCCGGGTGGTATTTCTCTCTCTCTGTTTTTGTTCTGACTATCTTGTAATCATCCGTTTGTAAAGGGAAAAAAATGAAAATTTGGAAAGCAATTTTGATGTAGCCGAGCTATAAGCTTTTTCTTGGCACTGTTAGCAGCTCAGCCATCCCTTAGAAGTGCCATTTTTTCACTGAATATTTGTGTCGTGCTAAGCTCTTCTGCTTCCTCTCTCAAACTTTGTCATATATTTTTACTATGTAGAAAAGCAGTAAAGGAAAAAATCTATAAAGCTGCTGAGGTACAATTTATCTCATACCAGTAATGTAGTTCAGTATAGAAAATGCATAAAACAATGTTCCAAAAAAAAACCAGTCATGAGAATGCAGCTGCATAGCTAACCTGAATTATCACTACAATAAATTTTATTATACTGTAGTGGCAGTAGGGTTGAGGAGATGTAGATAAAACTCTGTTCTAGTGCCTCCCTTGGACCAAATCTGTGGAAGTCTTTGAAGAGCTTTAATTTGTAACCTGTAGCCAATTCATAATGTGTCTGGGTTGGATGTGTTTTGAGCTGCGTTTTTTCTGGCGGAGATGAAAGTGATCAGTCCTTTATCTTGTTTAGTAATAAACAAGCTTCCTCTTGTTGGGAGACGAGGGGGGAGATGGAATAAAAGCTTTTTTTAAACTGTGCTACTTTGATCAACCCTTTTCCTTCCTTTCTGGTGTTTTCCTTCATAGCGTGTCTCAGTAAGTTCAGATGAATTGCTGTCCTGCCATTCTGTGTTTATTCTGTCTCTTTTTCCTTCCCCCCGACCCTACCTCCCCTGCCATGGTCCATTACCAGTCTGTATTAGTTTCCAAGTGTCTTTCAGCAAGGGAAAAAAATCTCATACTTGTCTGGAAAAAATCTCATACTGAAGACGCTAGATAAACAAGTCATAAATCCAAGCCTACTGCTTAGCTTTCTGTGCATTTGTTTGCTAGCTGGTAGCACATAGTAACAGCTCTTGGATGAGCGGGTAAGCTGTGCATACTTGAAACCAAACAAAGTTCTAATTTTAGGTCCTCAAGTTTACAGTGTCCCTTTAACATTTAAACAGTTGGGAGCCAAAAGAGGCTTAGGTGGTATATCAGCAAATGAAACGTTTGCCAGTTCTTCTCAGTGACACTGGGTAAGTAACTTGACAACAGGAACTTAATTCGCAACAGATAAAAAAGGTGCCACTTTACCCTGCATCTCTTTTGAAAATCTCTAATTGTAAGTTAAGAGTCACAACATAAGGAGAAAGCACCTTTTTGTACTATACAGAAATTGCTTTAGGATTCAGGAGACATAACTACTTAGTGGGTTGTTTTTTTTATTTTTTTTTCACTTAGATTTGGAATCAAAGTGCTGGAGCAAAACATCTCGCCGGTCTGCTGGGGGGGGAGGGAGTTTGATTCTGAGACATGAATATGTGCATATGTGTGTACAGGACTTAGCACAGAGTATGTGTGATAGCAGATACCATGCAATAGTAGTATGTGTAATAATACAGATAGAAAAGGGCCGTCTGAAGTAGTGGTAAGACGGTTAAGGTTGAAGCGTACTTGTCATATGTAATAACCTGTTGGACTAAACAGAAAGAGTGATTTCTAAGTATTTAAAAAAAAAAAAAAATCAGTGCAGCCAGCTGAGGGATTCATTTTCAGCAGAGAAGAGCTGTTGTCCTTCAAAACATCTCATGCTTTGTTCTTTCAGAAGCAAAGCTTTTGCAATGGGAAATCAAATGGGGCTTCTTCAAATAGGGCTTGAGGACCCTGCTTGAGCCGGGGGGTTGGACTAGATGATCTCCAGAGGTCCCTTCCAACCTAAACCGTTCTGTGATTTTGTGGTTCTTACAGACTTTCAGCCCTGTCACTAATTTTCCTGCTTAGGAACGGTGGGAAGAAGCAGCTATTTAAGCTAAGGGAGTTTTTGTATGACACACTTTGTTTTCTTTCTCCCCGGGAATTTCTTGGTTGGTGGGAGGCAGGCTGGGGGCAGCAATGGCTCTGCCAGGTGCAGAAGGGAGCACAGTGGGTCAGAGCTTGGACCTCGCAAATGGGAGCTGCATAATATGGAGCCAGTGAGGATAGCAGAGAGTCTTAGGAGGCACTCACTGCCTGCAAGGCAGTCCGGTTGCTGATAATGTGAGGTGGGCAAGGATTGCTATACATGCTTATTTTCCTTTTCAGTAACTGAGATATGTTCAAAATAGAATGCAAAGTGCTGGGTATCTTTTAAGTATTTTTCTATGTATGGTCAAATACATTTTGTTTTAAAGCTGCAACATGTAGCCGGAGAGAGGGACCAGTGGTCTCATTTTAGTCAGGAGTCACCTGCAGTGGCAGGTGGAAATTTTTCACACTCTTCTGCAGAAGTGGGCATAGAAAAACTTTTGAGATGTTCCTGTGATGAATGTTACTGTCCACCTGATGTCACTATTCCCTCATGTTAATGGCCTCAAAAGCAGTCTGTTCAGCTGTTAGAAAGAAAAGCTAGCTTTGAACTCTGAGAAACTTTGTCCAGTTCTTGTTTTTGCTGATGTAGTTGCTACATATTTTTATTTAAGTTTAAAGTCAATAACAGCAAACCTCAGGGAAGGTAAGACAAAAAAGCTGCTCTGATCTGCCAAAGGACTTATTCCTGGCAATCTATTCCTTCTGCCCCCAGATTCCCTCAATTTACGCTCTGCCAAGGCAACCTATTTTAGCTGTGTGCGCCTAGAACAACAGTTAAATATAGGGGCGAGGCTCCTGTGTTGGGTTTCAAAGTTTTTTTGGTGGTGGTGTTATGTTCATTCCAGAGCATAATCATGTATCAAAGAATACTATTGCCTTCAGAATTTATCTGACTTAGATTTTCTATATTTAACCTTCAGCATAATCATTGGCTAGGAACTTGGTTAAGACTCTTAAAAACAGGCGATCAAGTTTAACATTTGCCAGGATCTCGGTTTCAAGCATAATTATCAAAAAATAAAAGTGCCTTTATGTAATTTGAATATTCAGCTTTATAAAATTAAACAATTATATATGACATGCATCTGCAGGTAATGTGATTTCTCACATTAGTTAAGAAAATGCTTCAGATGTGCCAAGGACTGTAAGGACATTGGGAGACTGACTTAAAAATCTGTGTTCAGGGATGAGCTTTAAATGATGGATGGAAACTATTTAATCTATAAATTATTTGGGCAGGTTGTTTTGTGCACTACTTAGCATCATGCAACTCAGTGCGGATGGGCTGTAACAAAATGATTATCACCTTTGGTATTAATGTAGATCTTTGTAAATTCATACCTTTTTGTTGGTTTGATCAGAAATATAAGGGGGGCAATTTTTAATTGTGCCTGTGCTGAAATGAATTTATGCTAATGTATGAAAGCTTGACATACGTAAACTGGTGTGAATGCAGCAGCAGAGGAAGCGCTCAGTCATTTGAAGCTCTAAGTTTGTTTTAGATTTTTGCATTAGAGATGTATGATCATATTAAAAATAATCCAGAATTAAAGTTACCGGAGGGAGATCATGGAGCATGTCTTAAATTTAAATGACAAAGTGCAGGAATATGCCAAGCCACATTACCTGGCTTTTTCAATGAACTCTACAGGGATCCTGGACAGTATAGCTACCTCAGTCCTTTAGGGGCCCTGAATCGCCCAAGGAGCGTAAGCATTGCATCGCTTCGTATTCCACTGGATAGACTTTAGGTTCCCTGATGCCCTTTGGAAGCCTCAGTTCGAGTTAGGCATGCAGGTTCCCAACACGCAAATACAAGGCATTAGTCCCAAAGCACAAGATTTGCAGAAGCTGGCACACTGACAGAGGAGATGCCTGAGCCTGCCTGGTGGAAATGCTTGTATGAACGCCAATGAGAGCAAGAATTTTTGGGCAACTCTTCTGGCTGGCTTACTGAAGTGGCTATGCGTTTTAGGTGCCCATTTCCATCCTCAGCATGCTAAACTCTGTGGTCTAGTAGGTGGCTGATATTGCCTGATGCAGATCCAGCAAAAGGACGTTTATGCTCCAAGTAGGATTTAAAAGGACTTCTCTTTGGTCCAAATCCTGAAAATGAAGAGACAGCTGCAGTTTAACCTTGGCAGCATCTGAACCCCATATATAGCTCATTCGTTTACCTCTGTTTCCGAAGTGTCTAAAATTGCTCTTTCCTAAGGCATCTTATCTTCAGCCTGGTACAGTCCCTTGGAGGGGTTCCTATTTCTGTAGCTTTCTCACTCTATAGTGAGGTTAACTTGAGCTAAAATGCTTTAGAAAAGTTAGGATATTCATGGCTACTTCAGGTTTTCTGTAACTTTAATTTGACTTTTTTATATCGGTTTATTACTGACTACGGTATTTTTGGAATGACTTTTTCTTTGAGTTGCTATAATCTTTTTTTTTTTTTAATTTTGGCTATATTTCATGTTTGGGAATTGTGCCCAGCTTCCTGTTTAACAACCACAAGTATTACAAAAATTTTGCATAACTTAAAACCAAAAATTCTCCATGTTAATTTTCATAAATCTAAGTTTTGTCTTATGAAGTAAGTCTCTATTAAAGCTTTCATCTGTCTTCTTTAGCATTCTTTCCATGAGGTTATTAAATCATCTTCTAGCAGTATACACATAAGGTTTTTATAGCTGTTATTGATTGGTAGCATAAAGCAAGGAATTTACAGCTTTGCATTATGTGCCAAAAACAATAGGTTCAGTAATATTGAGTGCAATTTAGATCATACCCACATCTCTTCATTCTATACTGCAAGATTACTTTTTAAAATAATATTAGAAAGCTACATTCAACTTGACTTTTGATTACTTAATCTCAAAAACAAATTTTCTTTGAAGTGTTACGTTGGCCTTTGAAATCCCTTCCTTATGCAGATAAATTAGCCATGCATACACAAATAATTGAAAGCAGCCTCAGATATCTTCAAATAACAGTCTTCTGATTAGAAAATGCTGTTACAGGATATGAATACTCTGGTTTCTGTGGCCCTTCATATAGGATCAACAGGAGTTGGGGAAATTTTGATTAAACGTTAGGAAAAATTTTTCCTAAGACAAAGAGGATGGCATGCTAGTAGAGACTGTATTGTTATCTGCGAAGAACAATATAGGTTTATTGACCCTCCCCAGTTACAACATGATACGTTTGTATGACCTGATTTTCCTCTGTCCTGTGATCTTTGATACTAATATGCACCTCTAAAGTCAGCGGGAACAGAATCGGACCATTTCAGAGTTAGTTTAAAAAAAAAAAAAAAGTGCCAAACTGGATTACTTGAATCTAAATCAGCTTTCTAAAAACAAAAGTGCTTCTCAGCACCGTATTTTAATTTCATGAGTGATATCCTGAATAGGATGACACTGACATCCTGCAGCATGCAGTAGGAAGCAACAAAAAAGTTTGATTTCCACCCCCCCCACCCCACCCCTCCCAAGGAAACTTGTGCCCCTCCAAACAGCAGCTGCAGGAAGAGCCAAGGCCTTCCAGCAGAGCTGTTGATGGTGCTTACGCTGCAGACTGATCGTTAGTACCTAAGTTGCTCCTTGGTCCCTCATATGCCCCATCCCACTCTCAAAGGTGCCTGTAGCTGCAAGGGATGGAGGAGGCCTTGCATGTGAGAGCACATAGGAGAGCACATAGGAACTCAAGTGGTTCAT